CAAGAGTTCAAGACCAACCTGGCCAACATGGTGAAACCCTGTCTTAACGGGCATGGTGGCAGGTGCCTGTAATCCCAGCTGCTTGCGGGGGCTGAGGTAAGGAGAATCGCTTGAAACTGGGAGGCAGAGGTTGCAGGGAGATTGCACCACTTCCTGGGTGCATTCCAGCCTAGGTGACAGAATGAGATTATCTCAAAAAAAAAATGGGGGTGGCGACTTGAAGGCCAGTGGCTGGTGCATGTGCTGCCCCCACAAGGTGGCACCATGCCCCCATGCAGGAACCTGGCATCTCATGCAAGGTCTCGGCCATAACAGGTCAGGAGCGGGGCAGGGGGCATGGGCAGTGCAGCCTTGACAGGGAATAGGAGGCCCAGGCCCTCAAAAGCAGGAGGGAGGGTGTGGCTGGGACTGCTCCTCTGGGAGGCGTCCACATGTGCCCATGCTTGGAGGCTTGAGACTGCTTTAGTGTCCATTTTTGGCCCACCTGGGACAGCACCTTGGGAGCTCCTGGCATCAGAAGCCTGCCCTTTGCCTAACTCCAGTGCACCCTACAGGCCTCAGGGCTCAGGAGGGGCCCCCCCACCAAAGGCCTCCCAGCAACAACCCTGACTTGGGTTCCCAGGTGGTGGCCCAGGCAGTGGGTTGTGTCTGGAGTACCCTGACCCCGCCCCCATCTCTGAAGTCCTAACCTGGGTCACAGCCCGTCACAGCTGGGGCAAGTGATGCTTAGGGGATGGAGACAGTGAATGAAACAGCACAGGAAAAGTGACTGCTTTAATGTATTAGGCAAAATTTTACATAAAATCAGAAATCTATGATCTGTCCCTGCTCCAATTTGTAAAAAACGCAAGATTCATGAGAAGCCATGTGCAGTCAGACCCCAGCTGGCCGATGGTGCAGATCTGGAGTCCACCCTCAGGATTGCACTACTTTCCGTTCTCTGCATTGAACATTTGTTCCTAGAAACAAACACAGCATGAGCTGTGTCTCCCAGCCCTGCCTTCTGCACCCTGAAGCCCCATGTGGAAGGAGGGAGGCCCTTGTGGGGTCTGCACTCTGTGTGGGCCACGGCCACAGGCTGGCCAACACCACAGTCACCACACAGGCCAGAGAGGAGCCAGGACCCACCAAGCATCCCAGGGGCAGCCCTGGGTGCCATGCACCCTCCACCCTGGGATGGCCTCAGCAGGCCCCGCTTGCTGGGCAGCACGTGAATGAGACCTGGGGTCTCACGGAAGTTTTAACTCTGCCCAGCTTGAACCCCGACATCCAGGCCCGGGCTCTCATGGGGCTTGGCACATGTGGCCCCCCACACACAACACTCACTGTCAGCATCCGCTCCAGCTTCACTGCGTCAGCGGCAAACTTGCGGATCCCGTCAGAGAGCTTCTCCACAGCCATCTGGTCCTCATTGTGCAACCAGCGGAAAGACTTCTCATCCAGGTGGATTTTTTCCAGGTCACTGGCTTGGGCTACAGGACAAGACCCAGCCTTCCATACCTGCCCCATGTCCCTGCCCACCTTGGCCCCTTGGGCTCAGGGCCTGAACCCGCTGCACCCAAGCATCTTCCACCAGGGCCAGGCCTCAGCCCCAGCAAGGCTCATGCTGGAAGTGGGGTTCAGCCCACAGAGCCTCGGCTGACGCCTTTAGTGAGACATGTTAGTAAAGCCAAGCCCTCTACTGAGGTCTACTTCACCCTAATGTCTCCCGAGATGTGCTCGCCCCACAGGGGGGAGGGATCACCCACAGGGCAGCGTGGCAGGGTGGTGTTGGCCTTGCCCAAGCAGCAGCCACAGCTGGGCAGTGGGGACTCACCCGCCTTGGCTGAGAGCACAGGCACCAACTTGGCGTTGTCCTGCAGCAGCTCTCCCAGGAGCTTGGGTGAGATGGTGAGGAAGTCACAGCCGGCCAGTGCTTTGATCTCGCCCATGTTGCGGAAGGAGGCGCCCATGACAATGGTTTTGTAGCCAAACTTCTTGTAGTAGTTGTAGATTTTAGTGACACTCTTTACTCCTGGAAAGAAACCAAGCTGTGACCAGGAAGGCTTCAGGAGAGGTGCCACCCCACCTGCCCTCCCAATGCCTGCTGGCTGCACTACCTTGAACCGCCACCCCTGCCTGCCCGCGCAGACCTGTGCACCTCACTGCTTTTTGATGCGGCAGCTCCATCTCGGGCTCTTCCTGCCTGAGGTGCTGCTGAGGCTGCTCCCCTTACCCCATTACCTCAGAGGGACCCTCACCAGGGTCTTCCAGGGGCTCGTAGGATTTCTTGTCGGTGTTTGCCACATGCCAATCAAGGATGCGCCCAACAAATGGGGAGATGAGGGTCACACCTGCCTCGGCACAGGCCACAGCCTGGGCGAAGGAGAAGAGTAGCGTCATGTTGCAATGGATGCCGTGCTGCTCCTCGAGCTCCCTGTGGGGCGGGGGCAGGTGAGTGCGGGGCAGGTGAGTGCGGGGCAGGTGAGTGCAGGCCAGGTGCCCACCCAGAGCCAAGGCTGCCAAAGATGTTCACGGGCCTTAAACTGAATCGGCAGGAACAGGCTCATGCCATTGTTAAGAACAAATCTGTAACACTCAAAGAGGGTTCTAAATAGATAGTGGGTTATGGGTGACCAGAATTTTCTCCAACCCACATTACACAACAGACAAAGGCAAGGGAGGCCCTCTGGGTGCCCGTGCTCTTGCGCCAGGCCAGCACCTCATTCCAGAACGCGCCAGGGCTCAGCTCCCAGGCTAGAACCATTGGGTTGTCTCTGACCACATTCCAGTCCTCACCCTGTTCCACTCTAGCCATTCCTGGGGCCACCGCGCAGCAGGCCCATAGCACCCTGGCTTCTGCTGAGAGGAGCCCCTTGGCCACACTAGGCCCCTTGCCCAAGTCCCAGTGCACTTTGGACATCCTGGGGTTGATCCCCAAGGACAGGGCAGTGCCCATACTTTGCCATGTGGCTGGGGCATGGGATGAGACAGCCAAGACTCTGCTCAGGCACCTCCAGATACAAGTTCCCTCCCCAGGCGCCTCTGCCACATGGCCACACGGGGTTGTTCAAGGGGGACAGCAGATGGCACAGCTGAGTTGGGAAACAGCCTGCAGTTCCTCCAGCAGTCACCCAGAGACTCCACTCCTAGGCATACGCCCACAAGAAACAAAAACCTGTCCAGGACAAAACTTGCACATCTGTGTTCACAGCAGCAGATGTGTTCATAGATGTGTTCATAGCAGCAGATGTGTTCAAAGCAGCAGTATACATCACAGCCCGAGAAATGGAAACCGACCGCAGCACTATACATCACAGCTCAAGAGGTGGAAACCGACCAGGTGTCCATCAACAGATGAGTAACTGGCCTATCCACAAAATGGAGTATTTTTCAACATATAGAAACAAATGGGCCGGGTGTGGTGGCTCACACCTGTCATCCCAACACTTTGGGAGGCCGAGGCGGTGGATCACCTGAGGTTGGGAGTTCGAGACCAGCCTAACATGGAGAAACCCCATCTCTACTAAAAATACAAAATTAGCTGGGTGTGGTGGCGCCTGCCTGTAATCCCAGCTACTCGGGAGACTGAGGCAGGAGAATCACTTGAACCTAAGAGGTGGAGGTTGCAGTGAGCTGAGATAGCACCACTGCACTCCAGCCTGGACGAGAGCGAAACTCCATCTCAAAAAAAAAAAACAAAAAAACCACAAATGAGGCCAGGCACAATGGCTCATGCCTGTAATCCCAGCACTTTGGGAGGCCAAGATGGGTAGAGATCTCTTGAGCCCAGGGATTCGAGACCAGCCTGGGGAACATGGTGAAATTACCCAGGAGTGGTGTGCGTGTTGTCGTCCCAGCCACTTGGGGGACTGAGATGGAAAGATCACTTGAGCCTGGAGTCAAGGCTGTAGCGAGCTGAGTTCGTGCCACTGCACTCCGGCCGTGGTGAAAAAGTGAGATGCTATCTCAGAGCCGGTCAGTGATGGCACGTGGTAGAACATGTAAACACACAGATGTGGAAACAAAACACTTCTTCCTGATGTGAATTATTTGAGTGTAGCATTGGCTGCTCCTGGGTGAGAACATCATACAGGAGTTTTACTTTGTTTTACACATTTTCTGTCTCTTCCACTCTGAACATACATACGTTTGGTTTGGTTTTTCTGAGACAGGGTCTCACTCTGTCACCCAGGCTGGAGTGCGGTGGTGCGATCACAGCTACTGGACCTCAACCTCTTGCTCAGGCGATCCTCCCACCTCAGCCTCCTAAGTAGCTGGAATCACAGGTGTGTGCCATCACGCCTGGCTAATTTTTTTTTTTTCAGATGGAGTCTCACTCTGTCACCCATGCTAGAGTGCAGTGGTGCAAACTCGGCTCACTGCAAGCTCTGCCTCCCGGGTTCACGCCATTCACATGTCTCAGTCTCCCGAGTAGCTGGGACTACAGGTGCTTGCCACCACGCCCGGCTAATTTTTATATTTTCAACAGAGACAGGGTTTCACCGTGTTAGCCAGGATGGTCTCCATCTCCTGACTTCATGATCTGCCTGCCTTGGCCTCCCAAAGTGCTAGGATTACAGGCATGAGCCACCGCGCCTGGCCTAAAATTTTTTTATATTTTTGTAGAGACAAGGTTTCACTTCGTTGCCCAGGCTGGTCTGGAACTCCTGGGCTCAAGTGATCCTCCCATCTCAGCCTCCCAAATTGCTGGGATTATAGGCACTAGCCATCTTGCCCAGGCAGCATATATTTTATATAACAATAGTTTACTTTTTAAAAATCATGTAAATACAGGCTTGTGTTGATCAGGACAGAGGAATGAAAGAATCTGCAGGTGTTAACTAGTGGCTTTTCTTCTCTGCTGGGTGGGTGGATGGTACTTGCTGGGAAATCCCTCATTTTTGATCACCAGCAAGTGAGGGAGCTGGCTCTGGAGCAGAGCGCAGATCTAGGTTGACATCAGCTGGTCAAGTCCAAGCTGTGGGCTGTGCTCCCCAGTCTGGCATTCCCCAGGGCTGAGAGAGTCAAACTTGCCTGATGCCATGTAGACCTTGCCCCAACAACAGGGGAAAAATCTCTGAAAGCTCCTTCCTTGTGGGGTCCACTTACTTTCCAGCCTGAATTCCTTCCCAGGTTGATGACAGCTTTATAAGAATTCGGTCCTTGCTGATCCCAGCTTCCTTATAGAGCTCGATAAGCCGCCTGGCTCTGGCCACCATCGCATCTTTATCAAAGGAGAGCCTGTAGGAGCAAGAAGAACCCATCCCCTCAGATCATGCAGGCTGCCCAACAAGCAGAGCAAGGTGGAAGCCGGGTGTCGGCCCAAGTCAGTTTTGAGCTGCACCACCGTAAGCACCAACCACTGCCCTCAACCTTCCCCTCACTTGAGGTTTGCAGAATGGCTGTGACAGCAACTCACACCCAGTCTCACAAAGGTCCTCAGTGAGATCCATAGGCTATAATTTGTATTAAAAAACACTAGGCCGGGCGCGGTGGCTCACGTCTATAATCCCAACACTTTGGGAGGCTGAGGGGGGAAGATCATGAGGTCCAGAGATCAAGATCTTCCTGGCCAACATGGTGAAACCCTGTCCCTACCAAAAATACAAAAAAATTAGCCGGGTGTGGTGGCGTGCATCTGTAGTCCCAGCTACTCGGGAGGCTGAGGCAGGAGAATTGCTTCAACCTAGGAGGCGAAGGTTGCAGTGAGCTGAGATCGCGCCACTGCACTCCAGCCTGGCGACAGAGCGAGACTCTGTCTCAAAAAACAAATAAATGGCCGGGCGCGGTGGCTCAAGCCTGTAATCCCAGCACTTTGGGAGGCCGAGACGGGCGGATCACGAGGTCAGGAGATCGAGACCATCCTGGCT